TTCTTTAAAAAAAAAATGTATAAACAAAACAAGAACAAAAGAAGCAAAAACAATGATCATTTTAGTTACTCGGAACTTTTTTTTTTTACAGAACTCAAAAAAACAATATGCTCTTCCGATTAGAATAGAAATACCTGGTGATCAAAACAATAAAGTAAGTAATAAATGAAATATATCCTAATTGAATGAGTAAGATTGACTGTTTTGATGATATTAATTTAATTTCCAACCACAGGAAAATAATTCGCCGGATGTCATTTCAAAACATCGTATCGCCTTATACAATGTTATTTCACTTTTTAATAGAGAATATCCTTATACAAAAGAATTATTTGATGATTACCCGAGCCTAATGGAAATTTATACGAACAAATGGAAAGAGATTGAAAACCCTCTTGAAAATAAAGCTGAAGAGATTTGGAAAGAATCATACAATATTACAAATCTATTAAATAAATACAATAAGGCAATCCTAGAAAACAGTAATGAATTGTCAAAGATTAATTATGAAGCATTACTTTCGGTAGTTTCTGAAAAACCATTTACAAATTATTCACATATACGTGATTTCGAATTAATCTGGTGCCAAAATGTTTATACAAATTTGTATGTTTTATAATAATAATGATAGATTTCTTATTTTGTTGTTTTTACAACTTTATCTAATTAACATTTTTTCATCAGTATCAAACAATTCATCCGAAAAAGAGGCTCGTTATTCGATCGTAGTGCATCTGAATTTCGATACCGTGATGAAATTATTAACCCGTTAATTGCTGAAGCTTTTCACGATGTAGAAGATTTAGTTTGGATCGAAACGTAAGTAATCTGTTAAAGTTATATATATATCATTCTGAAATTTTGAATTAAAATTTCATTGATATTGTATTTAGCGGCGAAATTGAAAACACAGTGAAAAAAGTTCAACGGAACGATAGCAAAAAAGATGATGAACGTTCAAAACTTGGAAACAAGCATGATGGTATAATTTATACATTATTACATGGTGAAGAAATACAGATTGGATTTATAGAAGTTGTTGGAAACGCATACAATCAAAAGATCGCAGACATGAACTTCGATTACGAAAAATTATTGAAAGGTACATCTGCTATTTTCCTCTATTTTTATCCAAACATAAGCTCAATGGTTGTATTTCTTCATTTATTGTTATAGTAATGACCTTATCGATTTGGAATCAAAAAGAATATTTGATATTTGATACCAATATAGATCCACCAAAATTGCAAGCCTTTTCAATCTTGGTATATGGTATGCATAGCTAGTATTTGTGTTTATTTTTTATTTTCAGAGGATCATGGATTGACTTGATTATAATTTTTAACAATGAAAAAAAAATTTTTTTGAGCATGCATGAAATTGATGGATTAAATATCATCAAAAATTACAATGGATTTAAGTTGCCATCATCTGATGAATGCTTAAAAGAATTTCAAAAATTGTAAAAACAATATTAAATTTAAGGTAAAGTTTTTTTTTGTGGCCTTTCTCGATTCCAAGGAATTATTACCCATGAATAACTTCTAAACCAATATTAAATAGATAAGAACATTGGAATATTACAAAGAACTTCAAAATTACAAAACTAAAATGATCCACGAACCGACTTCAAAACCAATCATATCTTCACCCTAATTATTATTTATAAAATATTTTTATTTTGCTTCTTTTAATCACTTTTTTTGCATATATATATAAGAAATTTTCCTTATAATTTTTTCTATCTTCTCACCCTCTCTCATTTCCCACCATCAATAATTTAGATTGTTTCTATAAATATATTACTTTATTTGTGCGTTCCTCATATCAATTAAAAAAATTAAAAATCTTTGTAATCTTTTTGCTAATAGCAATAATGATAATTTTACCTCATTCATTATAATATAAAATCATTAAACTAAATTTTATTTGTTTATTCATTCATTTACTCACTTGTGAAATATTCTTTTAGTACAGTCTCTCCATCTAAATACATTATAATTGTTGTTGTGAGTAATATTATCATAGCAATAATATATTAATATAGTATTAGTATCCTCTTTCTTTCAATCTTCAATCTTCTAATTTTCACACAATCCCCTTTCACATCTATAATTAATATTGTTATATTGTATAATAATAATTCTTTAGTGAAATTTAGATCCCAATGATTATTTTATTTCACTCACATCAAATCACTATTTAACAATTAAATCAATCGATCATCCATTTAATCAATTGATCAATTTTGATTTTTTCTCAAAAAATTTATTTAATATTAGATTATTTTCTATAAATAGTCGCACTTCTGGTTCCATTGATTTTATTTAGAGAAGCAATCATTTGAATGTAAAGCTTCATACAGGGGATATATAAAAGAATTTCTTTTGCTGCTTCTTTTAAAGAAAACAATTATATTAAACAAGAATTTCATGAACTACTTCAAGAATTTATAAAAACAATTTCTAAGGATCCAATGGTGTAAAGCATATCAAATTTAAAGTGGAATGCTGTGGGTATTTTTGTACTTATGAATATTGCTGAAGTCATTTACTGCTATTCCTAATTAATATCTATGTAAAATAATCGTATATAGCACAACAAGATTTCTCTATTTACAAGAAGTTAACTTGAACCAATATTTGGATAATTTTGAAGAATTGCCTCAATTAAAACTTCATGAGTAATAAATATTGTAGTTAGCATTTTTTAATAAACTATATAATTTGTTGTTTGATCATTTTATTAAAGCCTTAGAAGCAGATATATCATCATATAGTGATGCTATTGCTCATGCTATAAAGGTATTATGAGACCAAGATGCCTTTGCTTGCTGTCAACAAGAAAAGGTCAGAATTCCTTATAGTGATTTGAAAATGTTGGTCAAAGATGTTTTAGTCAGAAAAGTCAGTAAAGATTCAAAAACGATCTTTTTCTATAAGATACAAATATATAAATTGTATAGTTACACTGCCTTTTCTTTTTTAAGTTGATTTTAAAAGTAACTGGAACAATTAATGGGTGTAAAGAAGTTAAATTACAGCTTGAATTGGTTATAATTGGCCCCATGGTAAAGGACAAACAGATTTTAGCATTAAATGTGAAGATAAAGTTCATGTAACTAGTAGCCATCTAGAATATTAGATTAGCCAAAACCTGATTCAGTTGCAAAGTGCATGTAAAGCAAGTACTTTTTCAACATATGGATCTACATATTATTATTAAATTTGAGTTTGGAGTATTTACAATTTTTTTTTATTACTTATTTGCGAGCGTGCAATCCGAGTTTCCCAATTAATAGGTTATTTATAGCTCAACACACAGCCTCCTCGCTGACTTACGG